GCTAACATCTTGGATAGAGGGAATACGTTTAGGAAATTAGGTGGTAACTACTTGTGGCTGTTATCTTCGCATATGGTGAATTATTGTAAATTATGGTGTCCTGTTCTGACGATATCCGTCACACGATAGACGAAAGCTTAGTCAGTATTCATCGGAGTCGTAGGGCGGTGCGCCGAGGACTTATTCACGCAAATTTAGTTACAGCTCCAAGCCAATACCCCATTCAGCTTCCCGTAAGACCATCCCAGGAATCCTTTTCACTCTCCTCCTAAAACAAAGGGAACGATACTCCAGCGTAAGACTATTAAGGGATTCTTCGAAGCCAAGTTTTCCTACACAACTATTACTTATATGAGATGTATTCATCCTATTCTGTTTAAGGTGGAGGACTGATGGTTAAACTTCCCCGCAACTATATAAGTAAGCCTAAAGTTTCCATTGAATTTCACATAGCCTTGCTTCCCAAAAGGTATTCTCATCGAGGGTGGACTACAGTGCTAATCCCGCCTAGGTCTCATCAGCACCCCCAACGGACTCTAACCCTGGTAGTGCAGAGCATGATATCGACACATTAGTCACTACGCGACGCTGCAACGGGTGGCCTTAGGTTTCAAGACAGATGCGAATTTCAAGTAGATCCAGTTATTTTTCAATATAGCATTTTGTGTTTGGATTGTCAATGAAGCAAAGTTGTATTTGCTTTGGAGGAATAATTCAACTAGCATTCGGCCACCACCTATACGGTCCTATGATAGTTAGTGTATAGAGAGGAGCGACTTCTGCATATTGATTTAGTTTATTGCTTATCTTAACTGCTGCAATAAATGGCATCAGGACTAACTAGACTAATAAATTTTGATTAGCTGTCTGTTCAGGGTTGACAGATCCATATATATATATATATAGCAGGATCAAACCTACTGATCAAACATCATATCTTGGGACAATCGAGTAACAACTCTGCTTTCCACTTTGCCTCATCTGAATATATCAAGCGATATTAAAGTATGAGGACTACTCTAAGACGAGCCTTCTGACAGACTAACCTTAAAAACCAAATGAAGTTAGTAGATTTGCTGAAGCACCTGCAATAAGTTACTGTACACAGGCATCAGTCATGCCCATTCCGAAGAGCATTTTTAATGGCTAGGTACAAGGTTCCGAATAAACAGAGGTCCTTCGTAGTAGACCTTTTTTATTTAAGTTAGGTTGAATGAATTAATAACTCGGCCTAAGCGAAACCAGATGAGAATCTGCCAAAAGCCGCGTTGACAGCAATGATCCGTTTAACTTTCATTTGTTGGGGGGATGCAAAATCTGAACGAGGGATAATTCGACAACAAAATTCACCGCATACTAAGCAAGAATGACTTAGTGAAGGTGATATCTCCTTATAATGCTTAAAAACGCAGTGTAATAATCTTGGAGTCTCCAGAGGCAAAGCCAATAGGCCCCGTCTAGCATTATAGTTTCACCAAGCACTACTTACCTCCAAAGGCAAGAAAGCTTCGGCCTCAAAAGCCAAAACAAGCTGGAATATGGTTATCAAAAGGGTCATTTGCTTATAGAAATCGCATAAACACGAATCCCATTTGCCAAGTGCTAATTACATTGATTGGGAACACAAGAAGCATCTGTACAGTTTTGAGTATGATAGAATTAATTTTAGGGCACATTCTAGGCCTTGATGAAATTCGTGAATCAAGCGAATGCTATGTACATATTTCGGCTCTCAGAAGACAGCGAAAGTCCATGCACTTTGTAGAAGAACTAAGAAATTCTCCAATGTCGCTAGCAGCACTGGACCCAACAGCCCGGCCAGCAGCGAATACAATTGACAGTGGCACTTACGTGACCAGCTGAGGCTTGGCACTTCATCCAAACCTATGAACGGGGACACCGCCCCATCATCATAACTAGGTTTTTCTTTAAAATATATACGTACCTAAGTATGCATAAATGATCCACCAACTCATCCGGATGCTTTGCCAGCCCTATTTTATGGTGGTCAAAAGAGATTCGAGATGGGACCAATCTACAAATAGGCATATGAAAAGCTTAACTCTTAAACAAAATGTGAAAACTAAAACAGCTGGCACGTTGGACCACTAAGCAAACAATTCAGAGGATTTGACAATAAAGAAATAAATTTAAAATATGCATCCAATTGGACTGGAAAATAACTGGCGCTTAAGAGCAAACATCAAACTTATCTCGCTCAAAAGAATGAATTCATCTAAATAAGAAAATACTTAAGTTACCAAGGCTATTAAAAAATACAAATGATGCAGTGCATTTTTTAATGTCAAGATTTATTTATCATGTTGCTCCAAATAGTTGAAGAGGTAATCAGCTGGATACGATATAGCATAAATGGCGAAATAAATCTAGGTAGATTTTAACGTATATGCATTGCAATATCGGTAGACTGATAACACTTCGTTCAGGGCTCTTCTTTTTGTCACTAATTTAACATCTGACAAGCGTCCTGATGAGATGTCCTTAAAGGAAGCATGAACATCCAGAGGGTCGTTTTCCAGTTCGGACAGCAGAAGATATATGCATCCCGATGGAGAAATAAGGGCGGCCGCTTGAGGAAGAAAGGCATCAATCACCTGTAGGCCAATAAAAGTAAAGAGCAGTAATTGAGGGTGGATAAGATTTGCAGCTTACTTTGCGACCTTTTGGTCCTCCAGCCCAAGCTGTAGAGTAATTGTGTCTTGCTTGCTCAAACTCATCAATAGGCGTAGAAACATATGGTGGATTAAATAATATAAGATCCACTGATCCTCCTAACCGTGTCAACAGGGGATCAGCTAGGTTACAACAGATACTGTCTTGGATGCAATTCCTAATCGGTGTCCCAATGTTGTGAGAGAAGACATCATTACAGGCTAAGCATGACTAAAGTCAGGAAAAGGAACAAACTTGTGGCGAAATATCCGTACAGAAATAGTAATTTAAACGGCCCAAATGGAGAGCAAGGAAGGTCGAAATAATACCACTTCCGCAGCCAAACTCAATAGTTACCGAGGGGTTGACGTTTTTTCTAATAAAATCCAACTCAGATTCGAGGGCATCAAGAAAAAGAAAGGAATCAGCAGAGGGAGGATACAAGGTAGGATGATCGTGCGAAAGGAGGACTCGGGTGTCGGGTGTAGTCAACATTACTTAAGGGCATTTTCGCACTAAAGACTATAGCTTATTAAATTTTAATTTTTTTAATTTTCAATAATAAACAAAATAAAAATGGTTGTAATTATTTTTTCCCTTGTGTAAATAGCGCTACAAATAAATTACCATGGGTTTCCGCTACTAGAGCGCAAAATGTGTAATCTTGATATATATGAGAGAACGAAAATTTATATTCCTATGTTAGTAATTGGGGCAATCCTTATTCTCACTAGCTGTCTTATGATCTCTCTTGGAATTGCTCGAGTGCGGGAGGACATATGGGTGGCCGGAATATTAGTAGCCATTGTTGGTGGACCTTTATTTGTTTTTTCTACAATAGTATTTTGTATTTTAAGATCTCCTTCGAGATCCCCAGATTATCTATATGACTGGATTGATGGAAAAAAATCCAAAAAACTTTATATTGCTCCCCAGCATCCTGATTCTCGCTTCCCTCCACCTTATGTTGACACTTCCTTTAGACAGGATATATGATTTTTCTTTTGGTAATGAAGTTAAATATTTGTTTATATACTTATTGTTTTATTTTAATGGCAGGGCTGCTGAATAATATTTAATAATTAGGTGATTTCGCAGATTTTACTCTTTTAATTGTTATCATAAAAAATCGAAAGGGGCCACTTTATTTATCCACGCCGATGTTACCGTTCTTTGGTGAATTTTTTAATATTCGTATTATTATTATGTAGTGCGCTACATATAGATTTTCATGCCACACTTCATTAAATAAACGTTCATTCACTTAAAAGTCATAATACTATGATTATTTGTTGTACGTTTATTAGCCCCTAAAAGGAGGATGTCAGGCTAAAAATGGTTTATTCGGCCATAGGCTCTAGCAATTTATAATATAGTCTTAATACATAAACCTTAAACCAATCACAAAATACATACATGAGGGAACTGCGAGGATTATTGACATGTGAGTATGGGCGTAGGGAGAGCATGTTCAGTCTGATGATCTTAATACCTAGAACAACATTGATATGGCGACAGTGATAAAGTGAAGTCACAGAACCAAGCAGATAAGAGACGGATCATACGGAGCAAGAAGCAGACTGATATGACCCGAAGGGAGACGATTGCGGCTTAACTGCAGCCTTTGATCAACGCTCACAGTACAGTGGATGGGAAATAAGGGCCAGCGTGGAGTGTGACTATCTCA